CTTATGTTATTTATCACTCAGTGTTGTCGTAAGGATTTAGAGTGCAAACTATATTAATAAAAACAATTTGAATTCGCCACTCTGTTATAGTCATTCATAGATTTTCAATCATTAAATTGAATTTGCCGTCTACAGTGCTTCAGAAAGATGAGTGCTTAAATAAGCACCATTACATTCGGTTGTGCTTCCACCCTCTTTGGCAAAAGCTTGCCAATACAATCCGTTACAGAGTTACATGGTTCTGCGCAGATTTTGGGTGTGGGTGTGGGGTGTGGCTGTGGTTGTGACTGTGACTGTGGCTGTGGATGTGGGTGTGGGTGTGGGTGTGGGTGTCGGTGTGGGGTGTGGTGTAGGTGTAGATGGGACAAAAGAAAGATGCACACCCACACACCCACACCAACATATCCACATCCACACCCCACACCCACACCCACACCCACACCCACAACCACACCTACACCCACACGCACATCCACACCCACACCCACAACCGCACCTACACCCACACCCGACACCTTAAAGCAAGTTTAAACGAATTGAAAAGAAACGTGTGGAAAAAAATCAATGCATTAAAAAGGAGTCATAGGTTTTTTTTCCAAAATTATACGTTGAAGCACATTCTTTTGTATCACCCTTTTTCATGGGAAATTCTGGCAGTTGATTCAATAAATAAATACATTTGGTAACAATAAAACTATCAGACTTTATCCTGCCGATGAAAAGCAAAAATATAATCATAATAAACCAGAGTGTAGAATAATTGATATTAGAAATAGAAGTGAAATATCGATAATGTTGAAAGTCGTGTATCTATATTGACTTGTCACTTGTAGAATTATTTTAGTTCTTTTTAGATAATAAGAAGCATAGATAAATATATTACAATCAGATTTCAAGTGATGATATTGAGATTAGTTTTCTTGGCATTTCTCCTTTCGAATTCGGATGCAAAACGTATAAGAATAAGTAGGTAATCGAGAATAAGTATGAAAATATTTGTATAGTAAAAAAACAGTTTATTAATTAAAACGATAGGTTCTTATGGTTGGGTGGGGTGTGGGTGTGGGTGTGGGTGTTGATGTGGCGGAGATGAATAATTACACCCACACCCACATCCACACCCACACCCCACCCACACCCCACCCACACCCACACCCGCACCCGCATCCCACCCACACCCACACCCACAATTTCTTTGTTTAATTTTTGACTTTCAAGCACCATTTTTTTCGCTTCTTAAATATTATAGATCGATAGAAAATGAAAAACTACCTATAAGGAAAAAAATTGGCATTGCTTCCAGTCTTTTCCATGAAGTAACAGGAGGTCAAACATCACATATAGCATGAAATAGTGGAAAAATAAATTTTTTAAAACTTTTGATTTTCATGCATCACTTTTTTCGCTTTCTAAATATTACAGATCGATAGAAAATCAAAAATTACATGTAAGAAAAAAAAAGTGGCATTGCTTATAATATTTTTCATGAACAGATAGAGGTCCAAAAATTACATTTAGCTTGAAAATAACGCTAAACTGAGGTTTTTGGAACTTCTGAGTATGAAGAACCATTTTTTTCACCGTTTAAATATTACAGATCGATAGAGCATGAAAAAATACATGTAAAAGAAGAATTTGGCATTGCTTTTAGCATTTTTCATGAAGAGATAGAGGTCCAAAGTTTACATATAGCTTGAAAATAGCGAAAAACTGAGGGTTTTGGAACTTCTGAACACGAAGAACCATTTTTTTCGCTTTTTAAATATTACGAATCAATAGAGCATGAAAAACTACATGTAAGAAAAAAAAATTTGGCATTGCTTCTAGCCTTTTCCATGAAGTAGCAGCGGGCCAAACATGACATATGGCATGAAATATGCGAATTTGGGCCCCTTGATCTCAAAATATCGGATAAAATCATTATGAAAATGTAATTTTCTGTTCATTTTCAGACAGAACATATGGTTTTACATATATAGTGTACATTTCTCATAAGTCGGAGGGTTTCAGGAGTGCAACAGGAGGCTAAAAGCGAACATTTTAGCTATCAAGGCCATCTTGAAATATGAAGCGATTTCAGCTAAGAAAACATCTAGAGACCTTTTAATGTTAATATATGTAATCAGCATACTTAATCCTATGAATCAGATTACATTTTATTTGAAATAAGAGAAAAAAAAATTTCGACCTTTCTGTGGAGGACCACAGACCGAAAAATTTTTTTTCGAGCAATTTGAAAAAAAGCTATGATACATGATCAGGACCTACACCTAACTTCAATTCAATAAAAAAAACTCGATTTCGTTGGGGGCAGGAAAATGGCCTTATCGGCCCTGGTCCTTTGGATTCTCCCTCCTAAATAACTCCTGGAGAACATCTTTCCTAAAAACTAGATTTCTATTCGTTCGCGACCGACCAATAGGATTTCGAAGCAAATAAACCTCAGATTCGGATTCCTCAACTTCGAAAATTTTACCTTGACCTTGGTGCTAGGCCTTCCAGCAGAAGATTTCAGAGAGCTATGTTTTGATGAATTGGTTTTTCTGACCAATAAAGCATGGGACAAACAGACATCAATTTCCTTTGATCACACTCATCCTTTCAGGATTTAGAATAACAATAACAAAAAAATATTGTTATTTTCTCCGATAACGGTAGCTTCTCACGCCTTGTTCGAAGCGATTTTGTGGTCACCGGAATCACTTGGAATCACACGGAATCAATGGAATCAGTCGGAATCAATGGAATCACTCGGAATCAATGGAATCACTCGGAATCAATAGAATCACTCGGAATCAATGGAATCACACGGAATCAATGGAATCACACGGAATCACTTGGAATCAATGGAATCACGGAATCATGGAATCAGCTGTTTCCCCCTTGATCCAAAGTGTTATATGTTATCCAATGGCATTCTTACGATTCATAATGCAACTATTTTTCTATTATATACTGTAGTTCATAATGTCAAGTACTTATGCGCTTATCTAAGCTCCATCATTATACTAATTGCTGAGAAAGCCTTAAAGTGTTGACATGAAATCGCCTCTGAAATTCTGATTACGAGAAAGAAAATTTGAAAGTTAAAAATAAATTTTATTTGAGATAGTAGTCTTATCTATCTAGTATGACTATATTCGTCAATCCAAACAACTTTCAATTTTCTTTACAAATTCTACTTTTACTTTAGATCTTCGAATATCCTTGTCAAATTGTATTTGACTACATGCACCTTATATGTCTGGGCTACGTACCGTGTGTTATCAAACGTTGGTGTCAAAATATTGATGAATCAATTGAACGTTTAATTGATGACTCACTCTGTCAGCTTCGTCTGCCACACAATCTGAACGTACCTTTTTTGGATTCGATCGTAAACGCCGGACAATGGAAGGCAAAAAACGGTCGTTTATTCGTATTCAATGTTGGAGTACTTATTGTTACGTTACATCTTCCAAGACTTTTGGCATCTCACTTCTTATTTTATTCTATGGCGGTGAAAATTCTTCATGCTCCTGAATCCATCGATGAAATTAATTTGGGCGAACAAATTATGAATTATTACTGTAAAACTGTTCCTCTTGTACATGGTCCATCGGTGGAAATCTTCTCACTTCATGCTCATATTCACCTTGCACAGCAAGTGAGACGTCACGGTGGACTTGGACATACCTCTGCTTTTGCCTTCGAGTCTTGTATTCGTTTTATTGAGAGAAAAGCTCATGGTAGCAAACATCTTGGAGCACAGATTTCATACTGGATTGATCTTCAAACAATGATGCAAAATGAACCTGTCAAGGCTCCAACACTGACAATTAATAATGTAAATATAATGATTTTTCAGAATTTTTCACTTTTGTAAACAACATTTTAGGAAATCAAATGGTTGGATGGTCGTCTCGGTCCGTGTCAGGCTGTATTAATTGAACAGATGGCAATTAATTCATTAGAATTTCCCTCATGTAGTTTTTACTTACGCCTCAAAGCCTTCTTCGTAACATATCATACAATTATTTATGACCAACCCTTCAAATGTCAAAGTTATATTGTTTCATTTTTTGATTCTGCTCGCAACTTCGTACACTATGGTAATATAGTTGTTTTCGTAAAGAGACGTTTGCATTTCTTTGCTCTTGTGCAGAAGTATACACTAAGCAAAAAATCTATGACAGATTATGTCGAGGTTCTACTTTCATTACACTCGAAAGTAAATGAATTGTTTCCATTGTTGCAGCTGTCCAACAAATTTCTTCTTATTCCTGTCGAAAAGATTAAACATAAGTGTGTGAATATTCCATTTGACGGTTTTTGTTGTTTATCGGAAATACGAATCGATTACGGACACGACTAATAACCAATTTCTGAAATATCAATAATTTTTTTATTATTTTTTCTCTTTTTTATTATACTTTGTATGTTCTAGATCATCAAGATATCAAGGATTATAAAACTTCAACAAACAACATTTTCTGATTTTCCTACGAAAATTTAATTTTTATATTGAGCGTTCAACAGTTGGCGATTATCATTATGACGAAATGTTCAAAGAAAAGCGCGATAAATTTTGCATATATAAACTTAGAAAAAAAAGATTACATTCATAATTACCTATGAAAAGATAACACAATTACGACACGACAAGAAAGTGTCATCTAACAATATTACTACATGATTTATTTTCTTGTTATGTTGTAATTGTGTTATCTTTTCATGTTTAATTATAAATGTAATCTTCGTTCTAAATTTATAAATGCAAAATTTATCATGCTTTACTTCGAACATGTCGTCATAATGACAATTAACAACTATTGAACGCTCGATATAAGGTTTAAATTTCCGTGAAAAAGTCACAAGATGTTCTTTGCTAGATTTTAATAATGCTTAGTTATACCTTATTTAGTTGTAAATACATCATTTTCAATTAATATATTCTAGATTTATTTTAAATAGTCATGTGTACAGAAAATACATATTCTAAACATTACTTAAATCGCCGAACAAATGTTGAAGCTGAAGTTTACAAACTTGTTTTATTTCCATCCGACAATTCAATTGCAGTTGTTAAAGCAAAACAATGTTCTCCAGCGGAGCATGATGGTTTTTATTTTGTACAAAGTGGAAGAAAGAAATTCATGGGAGTCATACTTGAAGAAGGTAAACAAGATTTCAAAATGAGATAATTCTTTAAAAAACTGCTGATTTAAACGATACAATAAAATCATTTTATGTGATTACTGTTAACACTAGCCTAGACAATTATTAATGGTCTTACTACCAGAGCATTGTTACAGGTCTTATTTTTACCCCTAAGCAACTTTAAAATTGAAAACATGCCTTAAAAATTATAAGCATTGTTTTTTTATAACAGTATATCTGCGTCTGTTGTTTAAGATGGCAGAGAGATAATCTTCTTTAATTTACACATCGATTGATTTACTTGTCTTTCTAGGATCTCTGCTGAAATGCAGTGAAGCTGCTGATCAATTAACTAATAAGACTGTCAATCCAGAAATTGAAAGTGAGTATGAACGAAATATCGATGAAAATCAATTGAAACAATATAATAGTAGGAAAACTATTAGTACTATTTTATTAATCACTTGTGCTCTACTTTTGTATCACAGCAAGTACATCGGCAATATCTACTTTAAACAGTATTGCATTTGAAGGCAAGCTCCTTGAAGTAAAAAATATTTTTGTATTCATATTTGAATATTTTGTAGAACAAAATTCTAATATTCAACGACATACAGCATCTACGATAACAGTATCTCCTAAATATTCAGGTATATTTGATAGTTGTTATTGATAGATAAAACAAATGTTATTTTTCTCGTAAGTAGATCATGCTAATACTGTTCAACCATCAAGTAAGAATTTATGCAAGTTTTTCTCTCATGAATTTTTTTTAAATATAAAGTGTGCTTTAATGTAGTTGTGAACAATAATGATGATTTTCCAGCTGTACTGCCGTCGACAACAACATTAGGTGAATATTCTACATCAACATCTCACATTGTACACAAATCGAACCAAAAACATGATAAGCGTTTCAAGCACAAACGACGTAAACAATCTCAACATGGAACATCAGTCATGTTATTTGAACCATTTGACAATACAGACAGCGAGTCCAACGACAATGAAGACGAATCATCTGCTAATAGTCG